TGCTGAAGTCAAGGGGACTGCTCAGCGTGTAGAAAATAAAGCTCATGTGTAAATCACTGCAGGACTGGAGCAAAATCAGGTTGCTTCTATGTCATCCAAAAAATATATACTGCTCAAACCAAGAGTTAGTGTGCATCTCTTAAGTGCGGCCTTTAATAAAGACATGGAACTATCTTACCATAACTCAAAAAACTAATCAGTTACTTTTGTTACCCTCCAACAGGTTAATCAGATCTGACCCTTTAGGTTTTACTCAGCGTCCACTCCTTTCTGAGCGGGAATCCAGCGTAGTCCCTCTGATTTCCTTATTATCAGTCTCTAGAACCAAAAGATGACCGTGCCCTGACTAACCCACTTGAAATCTGAAGAGATTGAACTCCATTAACTTCAGATGCTACCAACTCTACTGTGCTCACCAATCTGATACCAGTCTCATTCCAAAACCCCACCAGGATCATCCGACTAACAGTAGAGTTCATTGAAAACAGCTCTTTCGTGTCCTGGGACTGCTGCTACAACCTCAGGGTTAGTGAATAGCGAGATAAATGCAGGGCATCAGGTCCACCCTTTCAGTAGTGGGAAAATCACTGTGTTTTACAAAAGGTCTCTCTAGGTGCCCAAGTTCACATGAGGGTTTTGAACTGGCACCTTTGTCTGGTACGCGTCTTACGTACAGCCTGGATTAGTTGACTACATTGTAGAGAGGACTCTTAAATATCTGCTCTTTATTATGTCCTGCTGGCTAGAGTGGGTGCTGCTCTGCTTGGCAGATAGGCCGTTCACAATCTTTTTGGGAAGCACAGAAGGGCTTGTGCGTAGCTCTGCGCAGAGAAGTTGAGCCGCTTTCTGAAGTTAAATTGCAGAATTTCCTTCATATTTGATGTCAAAATTGATCCAAGAAGATGCCCTATGAACACTATTTCACCACTTGTCGTTGTGCTTAACTGTCATGAACATAGCAACAGAAGAGTAAATTAATTTTGAAAATCACATAGCCTTGAAAATATGTAATTAAGCAAGCCAGTACTCTTTATATTTTTATTTTCTGTTCTAAAGCATGGACTTTAACAGTCTTTCTTAAAATGAAAATGTCTACAATCAGACTAATCAGAAAGTAGAATGTACATCAGTACTTCTAAAGGGAGCTGCGAGGATTGATTCTATAACTACAAAAAAGATCTCAAGGGAGTACAGTATTTTCCATTCACTAATATTTGGATTCTTTTAAAAATTTTGTGATAGCTTTATTTAAAGATTGAGAAGAACATTTTATAAATATATTTAACTATTTTAACTATTATTTGTAAATAAGATCTAAATCTCACTTTAAGTAGTCTTGTGAGTTTCAGTGACACTAACCATAATGCTATATATGGCACAGCCCAGGCATATTAAAATTTTATCCATAAAAATTAAGAACATCATAGTGTGTTTATAGACCAATAAACCATTGTCAGGCACCCTTATCATCATATTACTTAGTAGTTTCAGTTAAAGACAAGGTGATCCCTTAGACACACTGCAGAGCACTTGTAGTGGCCTTGAGGAATTAGGAGACAAGAGCTAGGCTCGTCTAACAGAACTGACTGGATAAACACAATTTTATTATAGCTTTTGAGATTTGGAAATTCTGTTTGTGTTTCAGGACATAATTGTATTGACTTCTCCATTCCTCAGAAAGGCTCATGAGATTTTCAATTTGAGAAATCAATACAGGAATAAGCTGTAGCCATTAGTTAGGATGTGGTTGAGTTAGGTTCATCTTTCGCTTGAGTAACAGCACAATCTTTTTTACCAGAGTTCTGCAAATTGGGTACTAGGGAGCTGGAGCTAGACCTGTCACAGTTTAGGCATGTAAACTACTCAGCAGATTACTCGATCCTTGGATTTTTGTCAAAATTGTCTCTGGAATGATTTTGATAAAACAATGTATTATGACACAATACCCCTTTGCAAAGATGTTCTGACTAGTTCTAATTATAGAAGCCATAAGACACAAAGACAGAGAAATGCAGCCATGAAATTAGTTAAGCAACATGGTTATTTGAACAAAGTGGTTGCACATACCTTTTTCACATTCTTAGTGCTGTTTAGTCAGCAAACGTGTAACAGCCTTTAAGGTATTTAGGCCTGATTCCCATGAACTTTCAGGATCATTGTCTCTGGTAAGCAGCTCGTAAGAAATGTTATTAAATTGTTAAGACTCTTCAAAAGGCCAGAGTGGCATAAAATGTAAGCAAATCAGAACCAAAAGACTGTTCTCCTGCTAGGCAAAAATGCTCCTGCAGAAGTTTCTGGTGGTTGATGCTTCATGTCTGGAGACAGCAGCCTGTAAATTTCACCCTTAAGTGATTTGTTGCTGATATTCAAGATATATTTTTCTTCCTCTTTGTTCATTCGAATAAATGTAGTTACATGTCTTACAGAACTCAGAATAAATAATTCCTGTTTCCCCTTGATATATCATACACTTCAATGCTTCTGGCTGCTTATCTTCCCCATTTCTCTATGTAAGAGTTACCTTCAATGTCTGATCATGGAATCCTGATAGACATAGAATTAAAACACCTAAATCCGTAGCAAGAGGGAAAAGCCATAATGAAGACCAGGAAAGGGAGTAATATCTGTGTGTAGCCACAGGACAATAAATGACCTTGCTTTGAGAAAGTCTATCAAGTGGGAACGGCCAAAATCCCATAGATAAAGTACACAGTCCACTCATTTGTATTGATCAGCACTAGGTTACCACTGGTACATCCACGCTACCCACCTGGTCTTGACTTATGGTGCAAGTCTCTTGTCCAATGTTTACTTCAAGAAACAATTTACACACAGGTTCCACTTGGCAGTAGTTCCTAAATAGTTTTGCTTAGCAGGAAAATCGAAGACATTACAGAGGAAAGTTGACCTCAAGGCTTATGCCCTAGACATTTTATGCATGTAAGCCAGTCTATACCCTTTGGCCCAAGGACCACGGGGTGCAGTCTGATGCTGCTATGTGTGTTTTCATTTCGTTATCTTGCAATTCTAATTTCAGCCTCTAGGTTATTTTATCGTGTTTCCTAGCTTTATAGATATTATTATCTCTTCTTACGTTATGATCATCTGAGTCTATGGCATAATTATCTTTGAAATATTGACTGCCTACAAATGTGAAGTGATGCTTTTGAAACCCACTGTTGAAACTGCGTTCTCTGTTAATGTACTGGGACAGGTCGGAAAGATACCATCCGCACCACAATAGTCAATTTCAATAATGAGCAGATGCAGATCACATGGGCAGCAAGAGAACTGTTTCCTGGCGAGAACGTGTCATTTTCTTATACGTGAGTATTGATAATGCCTATTGTTTCCTTGAAGGATTTACTTCAGGAAACTGAAATAGCTCAGTTCATCTGAGTCATCTGTGACCTGAAAATACTTTTGATTTTTTTTAATCATCCAACATGAAACTCACGTTCACACACTGCACAAAAGTGTTTAAATCAGTAAACCTGCTGAATAATGAGCCATAGCAGACAATAGAGGAAAATCTTGTCCCCTGTTTTGTCTTTATGTTAAATGCTAATGTTAATTACACTGCTGATTGTTTTTTTCCACATATAACCGTATATTTTACTTATTAATTGACTTAGCAAACAGAAATTTAACATTCGGATTAAAGGTAGTCATACAGTTTGATCTTTCATTGTCTTTGTGGTCGGTATATCAGAAAGAACTTTTAGCAGCACAGTCTTGGAAATGAGTACATGACGCATCTGTTTGAGCACGGCATTGTCTTGTTAGTGAAAAAAAAAAATCTGAAAGAAACTTAAAACTTCAGATTGCACCAAAAACAAGGATTGGAAAGTCAACAAGGTTTGGGGGCTGAGTTCCCTCACACTACTAATTTCTAGCCTCAAGAAGTTCCTTATATAGACTTCCATTCATAGGAGTATTAAACAAAAAAAAAAAAAAAGAAAAGAAAAACAATCAGTGACAAAAAGGAACTCACTTGTGTTAACTGATAACAGAGTATATCCATTTACGAATATTTTTTTATTTGTAGATTTGAAGGAGGCCAGCAGAAAGTTTGGAAGTCATGTCCCACCTATTTATTGGACCAAGGTTATAATTCTGGATGTCTATTTAAGACAGAAGGATCCACCCTTGCCATCTCAATCATGAACAGCAATGGAAGCAAAGAGTTTTTTTCTAAAAGACTAAAATCTGATTTCTATAGTAAGTGTGCAATAATATAACTCTGTCTTTTGATAGTCTTAGTGTCTTCACTGATTCCTCAGGTTGTCCTCAGTCTGAGAGGAAATCAGTTATATCGGTGTGTAAAATGTTACTACTGTGTGCCAAATACAAACTACAGGTTTTTGGAATTACTGAGGCTGATTTTCATCCCTTCCTGTCATCTGCAATTACATAGGCTTGTATGCAGCTGCAGCTAAGTGGGATTATATAGGATAGAAAGATTTGTCCTAAAATACAGTTTCAAAACTAAAATTAAGCTACTCAAATACATGAGTCTGCGTAGTTTAGTGTAGACCTGCTCAGTGTGCATACCAGGAACACGAATAAAAGTTGACAGTTTCTTGTGTTAGTGCCAGCCTTGTTATGTGTCCTGCATTTTCCACCTTTCATTCTTTCACCACCTTCCAGGAGATGTAACGCAGCAAACTATTTCTAATCCAAGAGACTATGCTGAAATTATCAAAAAATTTCAGGAGAAATTAATTAAATGCCTCTGTGATAGCCTGGCAGCATAAAAGGGACATTCTCCTCACCACTAGTAGGGACTCCATGTTCCTGTTTTTATTAAGTTCTCCAGAAATACATATTTCACATTTATTATGAGATCAGCTTATTGACATCATCTGGTATATGCATGTAGTTGTAGTGTTTAAAGTGGAGTGATTTTTCTGATAAAAATCATTCAGAAGATGTACCATGCAAAAGTTCTCTGAAGAAGTTATTATCTTCTGGGAAGACAGGGTTTTTATAATATGAAACAGGATCTAGAAGGATTGAAGAAGGAAATAATACTCTTATTACACCTTTACTTACCACTACTGAAGACTATCCAGTCACAAAGGTCGAAACATTGCCTTCTCATTTAGACCATCTGAAAACAGTGAGGAGTAGATTCAGTTGCCTGCTGTTAGGCTCCCAGTGCCATTTCAGATGTCCTAATATATCCTGTCTGGCCTCCAGCAGCGGGATATATATGTCTTGTAGGTTATATGGTACGGTATTCGCTAGTCCCATTCCAGAGTCATAGATACCCTAAAGCATATAAAGTGGTGTTTGCCTATATTTAGGCAACTGAAGCACATGCCACAAAAATGATATGTTTAGCTACTTAACACTGATGCGTAAATAAGGAGACTTGTCTTTCTAGGCTCCTTCTATTGTTTGTGAAGGGAAACAGGCTTCTCTAGAAAGTGATTTAGAGCCTGTAATTTACGCTCCCACTTCTGAAGAACCCTCTTTCTTTCTCTTGACGGAGGAGTCTGAGGGGACTAGAGTCCTTACCTAAGTATTTGCAGTAGGTTCCCGAAGTGAGTTGGTATCTATCTCTAAATGTGGCAATTTGAATGGGGAACAGTGTCATGGTGCCAAACTTCATTTTGTTGTTCAGTATGAAGGTCAACTGTAAAAGTGCATCCTTCATGAAGATTGGTCACTTCCTTGGCTTACTACTCAGAGAAGGGTTGAGGGAAAGCAGGAATAGCAGTGATTTAAACTGCATTGAGGTAATTATTTTTTAAGAAGTTATTGCATAATTTGTTTCTTTTCTCCTTAGTAAAGCCTAACCGACCCGAAAATGTGACTTTCTTGTGGAAAGATGACACGGTTACTGTGAGCTGTAGTGAGCCAAGGAGAGCTGTGAAGTGCTTGAGACTTGAGCTTCAATACAAAAGCAAGTTCGACAAAGAGTGGCAAGTGAGTTGAACATGACATTTTTAATCAATATGGAAGGAGCTGGAAATAACATCACCATAGAGTGCAAAACATAGTTGTTTTTATGTTGTCCTCCCATTCCATACTTTAAAAATAGCTGGTAGCAGAAAATAGATAGATTTCTAGAACCCTGGGTCCCTACCATGCCAGCAATCATTCAATTTTTGAGTTATACCTTCTGCTCATAGAAAGAGCTGAGGACAATCTAAGGTCATACATTCAGAATAGGAAAATTTTGGGAGATATAAGCAGAAAGTAAAGTAGAAAAAAAAGAAAAAAAGGAGAAATAACAGTAAATAGAATGAAAGAAAAGAGATGATATAAGATTTTTATTTATTTTGAAGTAAGCTGTTAAGTATACCTTAACATTATTTCATTGATTTAAATCTTTCCACACTCACATACAACTTTTAAATACTTTTTTGACCAAAGTCTCTTTTGTATATTACAAATAACAACAGTAATAGTACTATATGTATTGATATGTCCTTCAACTCAACATCAAACAATGAGGAAGGGGTGTGAATGGGGAAAAGTCATGCAAGAAATGGAGTTCCCAAAAATGTGGAGAACTTAAAATTTGGTTCTGAGGTTTTGCGTTAGCCCATCTCTTGTTCTTGCTATGATCATGATAAACTGTAGCATTATGAAGCTGTTTTTGAAAACCAGAAATAATGATAATACACCTTCCTTCTCAGTCCAGAAGTTCTAAGTGTTGCAGTGTTGGAGAGCAAGGCTTTGATCCAAGGAAATGCTATTCTTTCCGGGTCAGACTGAAGAGGCTAGTACCTTACTGCAATGTAGTTAATTACAGCAGTGACTGGGAAGCAGAAACATTTTGGATGAATGGCACATCATTAGGTAACAGCTGTGCAACATTCACATAATCTCTAAATGGGGAAGGTGGGGGGAGGACTGCAAAAGAGGACTGGGCATTTAGTTAACATAGCATTCTATCATGCTGTATCTTCCACCATCAAAGAAAGTTCATATGGAAGTCTGATTACCCGTTTTTAATTCCCATCCCCAGAAGCAGAAGCAAAGTCAGTATCTGCATTGATTTTCCACGAGATTGGCCCATTTAGTGGATGACAATTACCTTGGAGTAGGTCTCTGATGGAAAGAATTTTTCTACTAGTTTTCAAAACCGAAAGAAATATCTAATGTAGTAAAGTAAAGACTGTTCACCGTCCTAACACATTCATATCAGCTATCCACAAAAAGCTATCCACTGGGCTTTATCAGAAATACGAAACACAAAGATGTCCTGGGCTCTCCAAAATCCAACGGGTTATTAACTCACCTGAAGAAAATCTATTTACACAAAACTGGGCTGAAATCCTGGAGCACGGATGTGTATATCCTGTGCAATAGTAGTAACCACAAGTGTGACCTCCGAGGAAGCCCCATCTACCTTGCAGATTGTGAACCTGCAAGCATGTCCTCAGGTGTCGCTGGAAATGTGCTTCAGAAAACACAGAGGTCAATGTCCCCTCGTATGCCTCTAAGAGGGGATCACATACCAGCTCTACCTGAACCATTTGACCGTAGGCTATCTGCAGGAGGCTGCAAGGATGGAAAGTAGAGAAGAGACATATTCATGGTTCAGTTTTTCTCGGTGGCCCTGGTTCAGAAGTGACACTGGGACAGCCCTTTCAACAGGGAAAGCATTTCACTTCAAAACCTGAATAAGTCTTTATTGTCTCCAAATTTAACATCAAAGGAAGCCATGAACAAAGCTATGCTCAAGAAGTTTCACAAACGCTGAAAGCAAATACCTTATAAGGAGATCACAACTTTCTTGTGGCTTTTTGGCAGGCTGAACATAAAAAGTAGGTGGAATAGGCTGCTGCAGGGATCAAAGTGACTGTGGAGCACTACTTATAGGACAGTTGTTCCTGTATGAATAATTCATTTTAGTTCTTATAGTATCTATTTGGAGAGCAGACCATCCTAGTACAAGGTAGTTTTAAGCTGGCATTATAAAAGCTGCGGGGAAAAAACTGAGAATGGTGAAAGCTATGCATCAATGCATTAGTTTATATACCAGTGTGCTGGATTATGTCCTGACATTGGTTTCTTTCTAGTTGTAAGGGCTTGTGGTTTGGGGGATTTTGGTTTGTTTTATGTTGGAAAATAAGAGTTTCATTTTGGGAAATAAGAAATTTAAGTTACATACACAATTACATTTACAGCTTTGGTGATTGCAAGTAGGTGTCTGTAAGCTAGACTTCAGCCCAAAGCTGTTGCACCACTGTCAGTGCAGCGTGGTGAACACGAGGAGAAGGAATATTTAACTTGATTCATTCCAAACACTTCTATTCTTTGTCTTTAAGCCCCCTCCTTGGTCGTGTACAAAGTTAATTTAGATAAATAAAATTACAACACTATTTTGTTACATGGTTTGTGGATTCCTTTTCTTTTCAGTTTCAATTGAATTGTCTTAATTGTTCCTAAGCATTGCTGTATTTTAAAGAAAAGTCAATGTTCTAGCATGATTAGCAATATTTACAGTTAAAGTTAATAAGAAAGTCTTCTTTTTTTTTTTTTTTGTGATTATTCCTAGATTCATGTGATGATGACATAAAATCTCAGTCAAACACAATAATTCTTTTAAGTTGTATGCTGGCAGTACTTCTAATGATATTTGTCCTCTTGATTCTTCTGTGTAAATGGCAGAGGTAAATATAATTTTAGTGGTCACTACTAAATATTCATTTCATGAAAATAAAGAAATGATTCAGGATCAGCTCTTTTAGCCCTTAAGATTCTTATCTGATAAATGAAGTCAGTATCAAGATGTAGAAGTCAATAGCTTAATTACCATTTGAGGTCTAATGCATTCTGGTCTTTCGACCATCAAGGCTTTTCATTTTCAAAAGGCTTTTCATTTTCAAAAGCAGAGAGAGCAATTCTAGTATAATGCCAGTCTTCAGGACAAAATTCTGTCCCTTCAGCTTCACTTCTGCTCTTGCTTAGAAATCCAGTTGAATATTTAGAAGTCAGTAGTTTTTACTATTGCTTCTGAACCGACTTCCATTCCTTTGCACAACTTATCGGACTCAATGTCTGCTTGCACCAGACTGATATTAGGCTGAGTGCATTCAACTGTAATAAGACTATGTTAAGGTTTGGATTTACAGTTTAATGTTTCTGGTCATGCTTAGAATCTACAATTAAAAAAATAGCTGCAAAAGCACAGAAATTTGGTTTTTTTCTGTGGGAAAAAACTCACAAATGCGGTACTGCAGAAAATAGGTTGAAAATATATAGGACTTTGATAACCTTTCTAGCTTATAGATTCATTTTTTTCTCCCGTCCATCTAAGTTTATGTTTGGGTTTATGTTCACTAAATAAGTCATTACAGTTGTTTGCTGCACCATCTCCCAAGTTTGGGGGAATGTGTCCAGGGAATTTTAAGCTCTGACTATATACTGCATGGTGCAGAATGTCACTTGCTGACTAGCTGGAAGTCTGGACATATTCTAAATTTTACAAGGATGGGATTGGTTGACAACACAGCAGAAAAATCACTCTATATTGTGTAAATCATACCTTACTTCAAACCGATCAAACGACTGCTCTACAATATTGCTTTTTTTTAACTTTAACATACATTTAAAAGGTATCAAACCTTGACAGCCGTCATGTTAATTATATTGGTGGCTACAGAACTTCGTTGAAGTAGAGGCATACGTGAATGAATATACTGTCACAGAACACATGTATTTTTCTTTCTTCATTGCAGACTTCGAAAGTCAGTCATGCCTGTTATACCAGATCCAAAATACGTATTTGCTGATCTCTTCAATGATCATAATGAAAACTTCCAGGTAAGTGTTCCCTTTCCACAACAAGGCTGTGAACTGTACAATGCTGTGAATGATGTGTAAATTGCAACCTAAACCTGCATTCTGCACTGACATTTACTGTGAGCGGTCTTTGACTCAAGGAAACAGCCCTTCCCTGGTGTGATGTGGCCATCCAAATCTACAGAGCAAATGACACTGTCCATACTGCCAGTATAGCACTGCTTTGGCACTGCGTAAGACACTTTTTGTAGAAGTTCAAAAGAAGAATCTCAGGGTGTCCAGAGCAACAGCAATACCATCTGATGAGATGCCAGCATGGAGTTGGCTTCTATTCCTGGATGTGATAGCTCAGGGAACTTGCTCCACTCTGAGGCAGATTCTTGTCCTTTGTGTCTGTGAAGTGTGGTGAGCCTTAGTACTGAGCCAGAGTTGGCCTTTCTTTTGTTCCTGTAGCAAGCATCCTCAGCACAGGTCTATGCTCACTAAGCCTTTAGAAACAGAATAGTTATCAAACGAACGTACCACACTCAGTTTATGTTTTTGCTTTTTACTGTTCCTTAAATCCATGACATCATATATATGATATATTATTCTATATTAATTGGGTTATCTTAATGTTAATTACCTGTAGGTTTTTATCTGAAAGCAGACAGATCAAATATTCAGGAATATTTTCAAACCAAATAAAAATGTCAAAAGGCAGTAATAATGTTTCAGTGACAAACTGAAAATTGTCCTTAGGTAAGATAGGTTTAAAATCAAACCTAAAAAAAGAAGGTATAAATGCAAATTAATACTGAATTTTAATCCAGAAATGCTAAGTTGTGCAAATCTCCCTGTAAACTCAGTCTAAATTTAGTTTAAGTGAGGGCAGTGTGCAAGTTCACCAAGGATCACCAGGTATTTTGCACATCCAAGGATTTCTGCAGGCTCTAATTATATATGCAGATTCCTTCAGCATTACATTTCTCATTAGTTAGTAGGAGTTTGTATGCATTTGTGGGTTCCGGTTTCCTTCCTTCTTTCCTTCCTTCTTTCCTTCCTTCTTTCCTTCCTTCTTTCCTTCCTTCTTTCCTTCCTTCTTTCCTTCCTTCTTTCCTTCCTTCTTTCCTTCCTTCTTTCCTTCCTTCTTTCCTTCCTTCTTCCAAATCCAGCTTTCCTATATTGCTTCCTTTTCATCTTTTCTGTTGTGGTTGATCCAGGGAAGATGCCATTGCTAAAGGAAAATCAATGTCTGTACAACTAGACTTCTCTTAAATGATATCTGAGAACTTGCCATCATCAACATTTTTATTCTCCTAGGAATGGATAGACAAAACTGAGCATGCAATGGTGCAAACCAAGCTAGAATACGAAGAGTCAGAGTGCATCATTGAGGAGGAAAGCCAGCAAGAAGACAAGAAGAAGAGTGACAAGGAGGGGCCTATGGATAATGTCTTCAGCTTTTCAGAAGCAGCTGAAAATAACCATCCCACACTAGCTCGAAATGCCTACCTGATGCCAACATCCAATACTACAGTTTCTCTTGCTGGCTTCCAGATTTTAATGAATGATGATATGTATGTGATGTTATAAAACCCACATAATGTAGCAGATGTTAGGAAATAGCATCACAACTTAATCACATCCTGATGAGTTTAGGGGAGTGGCTGAATAAAAGAGATTGTCATGAGTAGACTCACATAAGATAGCAGGCTCTGTCAACTGGTTTTGGATGTGTACTTGCCTAGAACTTATGATGACCTGGGCAGGCTCAGTAGAGGAAATAAATATCTGATAATTCATAAAGTTAGGATTTGATGTTTTAACTGGAATAGGACTAAACTAAGCCCCATTTTCCTGCTATGAATGGGAGAGAACAAGTGATGGTACAGCTTAGACTCAATCCTTGTGCTTATTGGTTGCGTAGGGACAGTGAAAACTACACTTCTTTCTTCCTAAGTTAACAGAAAATAAAGAGATTGTTCTCCTCACAGGGTTTATCTCACAAAGGCCAGACCATATACCCCTCATTTTCATAGAAACAGACATTTCTTTGCACATTATTCTCATTCTTAAAGTGCTTACTTTTGGAAGTTTCTTTTCCCAGTGTGAAACTTTATGCTTCTTTATCAAAGATCTTCAGAAAGAGAAAGTATAGGATCTGTGTCTGGGAATAAAAGAGTGAGGATGTTCAGAACTGTGTCAAGCTTTATCCTGCAAGTAGTTCTGTGTAGTCAGCTTGAGAACATCAGGGCTCCTAGTGCTTTCTCGGAGGTCAGGTCCTCAATGATATGACCTTAGGGTTTTCTTTTCATATGAATAATCAAATTCTTGAAGAAAGCAGGTTCATTGTTCAAAATGACAGAGTTGCATTTATTTAACTGAGTTGCACTTGTTTCAAACCATCTTTTAGTTCAATCAACAGTTGTAAATTTTACTTAGGACTTGTTCATATTGCGTATATCAGTTTTTTATTCTCATAGTATGTTCTAATGTTTTCTAAAACATATCATCTTTAAAATATATATAATTTTAATTTTAAAATGCAATATGATATGTAATTTGACTTCAGAAATCAAATCTTGGCTATTCGATAAGTTTCCTTCTATCACTTAAGTTACATACTGCTTGAAAGCAAATACTGTAGACAAATTTTAGTGCTACAAGCATCCATGGTACAGTTAAGTTCTTGTGGATAGATTGCGATTGCATGTTGAATCAGCTCTGGTTATTTACCTGGGTATCAGTTAGTCACTGAATGACTTTATCGGTTGACTAAGCTTTGCCAGTTGCGTACTTTTATTAACTGATTTATGATAGAATTTGGAAATTGTTCAGATCACAAAATTACACTGATTAGTAAAATATTTATAATGTGGCAGTTTAAAATGTCAAGTCTAGGTCTCCTTGGGAAGGTATAAAGTAATATGGATCCATTAGCTTCCAAAATCTGTTTCTAGTTGACCCAGTTTGCACTACAGGGAAAAATTCAAACATTTTCTGACCAATAACTGGTGAACTTAACTGGGAGGACAGTTCAGGCACATTCCTCAAGTTTTTCTTGGTGTTACCCCAGATTTGATTGTTCCCTAACAAGATGAGCAGGATTTATCATGGTCTTGGCAAATTTCCTGCCTTTTCCTATCTACAACAAGATGAGTGCCCCACATTTCAGGAAAGTTTTGATAAATGTAAATTTGCAAAGTTTCAGCAGCATAGTAAGGGTGCAATGCAGTTTAAACTAATGCAGACTTATTGTATTATTACTTATACAATGCAAACTTATAATTTTATCAGCAGAATCCAACTCAGCTCTTCTCAGACAGTGTAAATTAGCATTATTGCATGAGAATCAAAGAAGTTGACTCACACAAGGTAAGAACCTGCCCCAATAATTATTCAAACAGTAAAATGGGAAGCAAAGCCCAGAATTGATTGTTCAGTTACTTCATGGTTGAATCATGCATATGTATATATGGCTGTTTATAATGGTAGCTGCTAATCTTAGCTGAACCATTTTCTGTTGTAGAAATATTCTTGTGTCTAAAAGCAAAAGTTTTCACCGTATTCTATTGAAATTTCACTTTGGAGAAAAAAGAAGAAAGTCCTGTTTGAATGTACCATTTCAGCAGTCTTTCAGAATTGAAACCTTGTTTAAGTTTATAACACAAATGTATAATATTTTGTATTATATTTTATAGATAGATTATTCTGCGTATATATATACATATAAGTATGTCTATAATAGACTATAAATAAAAAAATAAAATACATATGTGTCTAAAATATTTATTTTAAAAACATTGTTCATGAAGAAAATGCAACATCAGGGGTTATTCAAATTCAAAACAACGCAGTTTACAAAAAAGAATTTTTATTCTCTGGAAACTCTAGGAAGAGTGCCTACCGAAGGACGAAGAACATGATTTAAGCAGTATAAAAGCCCCTTCCTGCCCCAAATACTGATGCTCATTCTATTAAACACTGTACAACATGCAGTCTCAGAGTGACCCAAAATATGTCGGATGATAAGCAATACTCATTGAGCTGGCTGCCCTGGGGACCCCAAGCACACTTCTGAGCAGCTCCTTCCTGGTGCCCAGGGTAGCCTGTCCCTGATGGGACCTTAGGTCCTTGATGACACCTAGCACTGCTTGCAAAGGAAGGAAACCTTGGCGCATGGCCTGAGGGAGAGCCGTTGCACCCTCCACCCGAGCTCCTAAAGTCACCGCTGGGAGCCAAGGCTGCGGGGCACCTTTGGCTTCAGACTGAATAGCCACTCGGCAGGGGATCAATCAGAACAATCAGAGTCTGAGATCAGAGTCTGAGAATCTGGATCCAAGTGAAAAATATCTGACAAGGAAGCCAAATGCTTTTATAAAAGTATGGATGTGTGCTATTTACACTAACATTTAAGAGAGGTTGGATGGAACTACCACTTCAGATATGAATATTAGTGATACAGACGGGTTACAGAACAATTTCCTCACACTTATGCTGTATAACCAGTTGTCCCATCATGGGATTAAGATTACTTTCTCCTTTATGACATATTGGGTAAAATAAAACCCTTCAGGAGCTTACAGAGGTTGAAGACTTGCAGGAGCATTGCTTTGATACCAAGACATCAAGGAGAGACAGCTACCTCCAACAAAACTCTCAGTTCTCCAAGATGTGGACAAAATGCTACATATCACCTTGCTGTTCAGATAAGAAGGCACTTTACATTATAAAGATGAAACTTTCTCACATGAAATTACATCTTTGTCTGCTTGCCTATTGTTCACTTTGCAGGAGAGCTCCGGGCAGCGCTGCAAGCAAAATTCAAGTGCCTTTGCTCCTCATGATTCGTTCAACAGAATCACAGACCTGGTTGCCGCTTTCAACTGCTTTCCCAAGCAGTGACAAGCTAGTAAGAGCGTAATGTGAGGCTTCCCTAATTTTCTGTCTGCCATTTTCCATTATTTTGTCATTACTTTTTCGTGTCCCTGAAGAGGTCAAAGACAAGGCTCGGCTCAGCTCGGCTTGGCTCATCTTGTCTTGTCTGATCTCATCTTGTCTCCTCCTCTCTCCTTTGCTTTCCCGGATGGTTACACAGCCATTCCCACAGACTGTCAGAATAGGCTTCCAGTGATTCATGCAAGCCTAGTTACAAATGAGCAAATTAAATGGCCAGACAGGAAAAGGTATGTTCAACTCCCCACAGTGAGAAGAAGGGTACACAGCAACTTTCATATCATCCTCTTTATTTATTTAAAAGTTGTCATGTTCTTCAAAGACCTGAGTCCCCCAGATGCTACATCTTATTCCTAATTATATCCCACAGAAAGGGGGAAACTGTGTATCATATGGTAGTCCAGACTAATTGAACTATATTTTCGCAACGAAAGAACAAACCGACTGTATATTTACTCCTCATGCAATTTATGCGTTAGCTATACCAGTGCTGAGCCAAATTACATTACTAGACTGAACATCTATACTGTTTGCTTTGCATTTGGTGTCTGATTTTCAGTGAGAGGAAGAATAGGAGGAAATCTTTTTTTTTTTTTTTTTAAACAAATAACAGGACTTATTGGAGCCAGTCTTGCAACTTCTGTTTTCTCTCACTTTTGATGTTTTTTTTTTTTATTTGTTGTGTTAAGGTTTTATAATTTCATTGGAAATATATTTTTCCATAGTTATTGAATGCATAATTTTGAGCAGAAAATGGTTGCTTAGAAACCTAAAGGTTTCTAATAGGTTATTCATAAAAGCTTTCAAAAATATCCTTGTTTTTTTTTGTGGCTTAGATTTTTACCATGACTAAATGTAGCCATACAAAACACAGTTTAGTTTATTTTTCCTTTTCCTGAAACAAAAGTGGTCTATGAAGATGAAAATGGAGAAGGATCACTCAGTCATCAAAATGACTGCCATGTACATCAAAACTTTTCAAAAGACAATGGGCAAGTGGTTCTTTCAGTGCAAAAAGAAAGCACAGCCCTAACTAACCTTCTATCACTGACTATCTAAGCAGATGTCTATCACTGACTAAACTTCTGTGCAATCCCCATGCATAGGCAGTCAACTCAAGAGCTTGCTCCTGCACATTTCTTGCTGGCAACTCCTGACACGAGGTAATGTGGATGGAAAATAGTAGGTGTATACTGCCCCTGAGCAATAACCAGGCCTTTAGTTGATGCAAGCTGGGGCAGTAAGAGAAGCCCTAACTCTGCAACAAAAAAAGAAGAGTCACAGCTGGTTAGGATTCTTCTCCTCTTCTTTTTGTCCTGATGGACCTAGTGAGAGGCAGAGCTCTTCCCTGTGAGGGACTAGACAGATGTGGGAACAAGCTTTTCCTCAGTGCCCCACAGCTCAGAAGAGGACCAGGCAGCAGAGCAGCAAGCTCGTTCTCCTTCCTCCCCAGGGACACTGCTGAAAGCCCATGGAGAAATGCTGAGATGTCCACAAGGCTGGTGGAGCTTAGCCACCAAGGCCATACGTAGGGAAGGCGTGAGAGACAAATGCAGGGTTGCACACCCGCCGGCTCCTCTCCACAGCACCTCAGTGCTCCACACATGCTCTCATTTCCTCATCCTTGCCTGCAGCAG